GCAGGGCATGTGATGGGGGTGGCAGGATGTGGCTGGGGCTGTCGGTGATGCTGCTCTAACCCTGCACGGAGGAGGCAGCGCCCAGGGACACGTCTGCACCCCTGGCACCCCCCGGTTCCCCCCCAAAAAAAGCACTGTGATAAATCAGGGTGGGGGGAAAGGGCAGCAGGGGGGTCCCAGCAACTGGAGTTCTTGGTTCATCCTGCGAGGTGGGGATGTGGCACCGGGGTGGCCCTGGGGTGGTGCTGGGCATCGAGGGGTGCCCACAGGGCTGAGCCCGGTGGCTCACCTGCAGCCCTCGCTCTGGGGACAGAGGGCATCAGGGCACCACCCTCCTGCTGCTGGCACAAAGCGTTGCCAGGGGTGAAGAGATGCAGCATCCCAACGCCACGGGGCGGGGGATTTGGGCATCGGCAGGCAGGGCTGGGCGAAGGCAGCGTGCCAAGGGGCAGAGCCTGCCCCCGGGCTCTCACCCTGGCGCTGCCCCTTCCCTGCCCCAGGCCAGCCGGGTGCTTTCTCACGCTGCTAATCTCTAATTAAGCTTTAAGGAGGTTCTTGCCCATAATGAAAGGGAGCCGTGTTCTGCCCCGTGCGTCACCAGCGTGGCCGGGTCCCTGCCCCTGCCCGGGGGCCTGGCACCAGTGGGTCCCCACGGGGGCCCCGTGCCAGCCCCTCAGCGTGGGCACCCCATCCTGCCACCCCCAGGAACACACCGAGGAGGTGCCAGCACCTGGGGCTGGGGAGAGAGCTCCCAACCTGCCCTGTCCTCCTGAAGCCTGGGGATCCACGGGGGCAAAGCCCACCTGGGATTTGGAAGCCCAAGCTCAGTCTGTGTGAGCTCCTCCTGGTACCTGCCGAGCTGAGATTTGCCCTTGACAGTGAAGCAGGAGGATGAGGAAGGACAGGGGGATGCAGCTGAAGGGCTCTGATGAGGTGTAGGGACCACAAGCCCCCCAAGACCCTTCCCAAAGAGCCCTCCCAGAGCTTTCAGGAAAGCCCAAGCAGTGCCAGCACCCAAGCCCATGGTTGCCCCACTCTCTTACCTGCCCTGTGTGAGTGTCTTGACCCCATGGCCTCAGGTGTGGCCCCTAGTTGCTCCTTGGATGAAGCCACCTGCCTTGCATGTGGCCAGTGCTCACCCACAGGCATCCTGCTGGGAACCAGGGCCAGGCACTGAGGGACCCCAGTGCCACCATCACCACCAGGCTGTGGCAGGATGGGTGCAGTGGGACCTCTGGGCTTTGCCCATGACCCTGGAAAAGGATCCAATTGCTGCCAGAGGAGATCTGGGTGCTGCCAGAAGAGATCTGAGTGCTGCTAGAAGAGATCTGGGTGCTG